GTAGCAATAAAAAGCAAAGCGAAAGTAACAGCGTTTACTTGCACCAAGGAGGTAAGAAACGAGAATGAATAATTATACAGAAATACACACATATTTATATTGATTACAAAAGCTAAATAATAATAATAACGGTTCGCGCTTGACCGTTTCGTGCGAGAGGTCAACGCCCCCTCGATAGTGCAGACAATAGGTACTGCGCGGCCATCTTGTCGTCATCAGTACTCGCACAAAAGGATGCGCAGGCGCCATGTCTAAGAGGTGCGGCTAGCGGTGAGAAGTGGGCGGATCTTTGCGACCGGTTTTTGCATACGGCCCGCTCTGACGTCATATCGTATGATCCAGTGCTGCGTTGCATCGTGCGAGTGGACTTGCTTACACGCTACACACTCTTACGCCGCTGATAGAAGTAGAACTGAATAAGTGTGACCAAATCCAATGTAAGACAAAATCTAAGAAAGCTTTAGCAGCCAATACTGAGTTATAAAATAATATTGTAACCTAGCAACATTATCACAATGAAGTTGTGGCAAAACGATGATTTCATCACATTGGAATTTCGTACTCATATGTATTTTGCGACATTTTGAAGTACATATGTAATTACTTGTACCGAAGACCTATTGTCTTCGGTGGTGGTCTACCAAAATGACGAATGATATTAAATACAAAAACACCACACTTAAGTTCTAATAGATTGTATTTTTTCGTGGATAAGCAAGAGTAATTAAAGTTCTGTAACCGCCCCGTTGATGACAAAAAGAGTAAAATACAGTCTTTACAAAAAATCGCGAGACGATCTCTGGCCACAGTAAGCACAGGTATGCGAGTAACGGTAGCTTGCCGCCCGACTAGACCTAGACCCGAGCGTATGTCGCGGAGAACCTAACGGGTTACCGGGGCTCCGGCTCGACGTACAGGAGAAGAAACGGGGTGGTTTTTAGTCAGTAAGAGTCTGATACTCCCTCCCGCCTCACCCAGGCGGGAGCAGTCATTGGATGATTTTCCGCCCTTTGAAAAAAAAAAGACCCGAGCATATGGTTGTGATTTTGCGCGCACCTTAAAGAGCACGAACGAACCGGGTGATTTTAGTCAGTAAGAGTGCAATACTCCTTCTCGCCTTACTAATTAGGCGGAAGAATTCATTGGATGAAATTTGTGATACGTTTCATCGAAAGTTGGTGGTACCTTACTTGCAACTGTTAGATACCTACACAAATTATCAATATTTATACAAATCAGATAAAGATACAACTAATAAATGAATCATCAACAGCTTAAAGCGCCCACTGCAGAGCAAAGCTTCTTTTCACACGGACAAGGTTTGAGAATTAAATCACCACGCTTGTTCATTGCGGGTTGGCGATTACAAACTTATAATTAAAAATTATAGTCTAGGTTTCCACACGATGTTTTCCTTCACCGTTTGTCAGTGGTGTTTAGATAATCTTAGAAAGTACTAGCTTTTGCCCGCGACTTCGTCCGCGTGGAA